TTGTCCCCTCCCCTTAACCCGCAACTGATTATAAATTATTATTTTGACACATTTTATATATATATATATATATCTTTTATTATTTATTATTTAAATGTGCAGGTACTTAGGTTTAGGAATTTTCCTTCCATAATGATTTGTTTAAAACTCATCCCCCCTCAAACAAAAATTATGTATACGCCACTGATCAAAACTATATTGTATATGTCTTGAGGAGTAGTTTAAATAAGTTCTCAAAATTAGTGAAAAAAAATGTATATTAAATAACAGTTCAAAACAAGTTTAAATGTAAATATTATATTATAAAATTAAGTTTAATTGAATACATACTATGACCTAATTATCCTGCATATATTATAATTCATGATATTTATACATAACGCAATGTTTAATTTTTCAATATCGGTTGGTTTCATTGTTTTAAAAATAAATAGTGAATTAGACTTAATTTAACAATTGAAATAATTATACTACAATTCTAGATATTACTGCAAAAGGTTGGATCTTCTTTAGTCTTACATTTCCGCATTGTCCTATCATTATTTATTATTATTATTCCATAATTTAATAAAACGTTGTACAATTATGCATAATGGCAATAAAGCATTATGTTCAATTCTTTGTCATATTTTTGGGAATTTCAATATTATTACTTAATATATTTAAATACTTATACGAATTTTTGACAAGGAAATTAATTTATTGCTTACCAAGTTATTAATCAGTGTACATAATAATGACTAGGTTATTAAAAATTATAATTTCTAATTTTTGAATTCATCAATAGGTTTAATTAAATTTAACATTTTTAGTGTATTTTTTCTAATAGATAAATTGTATTGTATAAATAAATAATTAATTAGTACCATTCGTATCGGATAAGACTGTAAACCAGTTTTGGGTAACTAAACAGTCACAGGTAGGTTTGAAATGGTCACGGTGTTGTAAAAGTTTTAGAGATTTTCAGATTAACATGTCTTAAACATGCATGAATATTTGTTTGTTTTTTTAATATTTCGTGTTAGTAAATAAAAAATAAATATTATATATGCAAACACAGAATCAAACATTTTTTACAAACTATTTTCATTTACCGTTTAGCATTTGATCTGATAACTTTTATATTTATTTATTTCAATTTGAGTAAAAACTATAGTATTTATTTTATACCTTTCCATTTATTTCACACATAATATTATATATATATAAGCCATTATTTAGTACTTTAGTTGGTGACCTAAATGGTAAAATTACTATTCTGATGTAAGATGTATTGAGCAATTTTAATTCAAATATAAATTATAAACCAATCGTTTTCGATGATTGCTCGTTTTGACTATTATTCTGTGTTACACGATTAACACATAAATATTATAACATATTTAATTCGTAAAAATATTTAATAATTTTTGGTGTGACCGACAAATAGTTCAATACTTATGTATAATTTTGCCTTAACATAGATTCGAAAACATTTTAATTTAATATTTTCTTTATCTGGCTCACAACTTTGCTTTGTAGAATAATGTATATGATATTATTTTCCAATATTTCATTTAGTACGACCAAGACCTTTTCGAAAATGTACACCTTATTGTGCTTTACCTTGGCTATGTTACGTATAGTTATCATATTAATAATTTACACCCGCAATTGCAATCGAAATATTTTTCTATCCATAATACGGTTAACCATTATTGACGGTAAGAACACATTTTACGTAGATTCAACAACTGCATGGCTTCACGTCTGTATTTATACTTTCTAATTGTATTTGCACAGTATATGTGGAAAAATTTCATAAAATCCATGATTATGATTTTATTTCCATCTCTTGGGTTTACATTCCGCATACTTGATAGGTACGTGGAATTCATATCCCGACCGTATTTCTCATTTGTTATAAAAAGGTTACTATTGTATGCTAAATAAATACATAAAACATTTTATACGTAAATTATAAAAACAAACAAACAAACAAATATAAAGGAATTTATGATTGTTGATTTAGTATGAAATTAATAGTTAATATACATAAACAATAAGTGTAATAAATCACTTCAGAAAGATTGCCCTCAAGTATTAAATAATTTTCAAATAATTAACACTCATTTGTGTAAAGATAATTAACAAAAGTAAATAATTAACTCTGTGTACAATATTAATATTTATAAGCAACTGAAATTCACTGTCTAACATTTGAATCAAATAATAATCTAACCAAAAGTATTCATATTTTCCAATAAATAAATGTTCATTGAATAATACTAAAATATATTATTTTAAAATAGTCATTGAATTATATATTACCCCAAATTTAAACAATTATTTTAAATATTTGTCCAATATTTATAAGTTAATCGATGATTTTTTTTTTTTAAGCATACACAGTTAAATATTAATAATCATTAACTTTATTCAGTTTCATATTTATTATATTATTGACTGAAACATTTGGACGATGACTGTCTAAGAGTAAAATTTGTATGGGAAAATTTACTGTGATTTACTTTTACACGCCATTTTTGGTACCATTCAAATTGTAGATTCAAATGAGACTGTAAATTATCAGAGACTATAATTGTATCGTTATGAACTGAAAATATTACTTTATTATCTGCATAATCGGCAATTGTGATGTTTGGAGTTGTGGACTGATCAGAAACATATATATTAAAGAGTATGGGTAAGATAATAGCACCTTGAGTCACATCGGCGGTAATTGGAGCTATATTTGACGTTGATGATCTTCATCATATTTTAAAATGGCGATTTCTAAAATAAAATTTAACTAAAAGAAAGAGCGGTGATGGTAAACATTTCCGAAGTTTTAACAGCAGGCTCTCGTGTCATACTCGGTCGATTTAGTATATTTTGAAATTGAAAATAATTAGTTTGAGGATTAAATAATTTAAGTGCTTCAGTTCAAATTAATGGGATTGCGGGGATATTAAGTAATACTGAAGAGTATCTGCATTTAAATCTAATATATTATCAACAGAATAATGTTTTTGCTGGGTATTTTTGCAACAAATATATCTAAAATATCAGGTTTTTTTGTAATAGATGAAGGCCAGTAAATGGATTTAGGTGGAGAAAGAATATTAAAATTATTTATATTAATAAAATTATGCAAAATGATTCCACGAGGGTTGCTTGCGTGATAGCCCCAAGCGTGATGTTTATCATTAAAGTCCCCTCCTATAGTAAAATTATTATTAATTATATTAAAAAAAGTCAAAAGTTAATTCTAAAAAAGTTGATTCCGAGTGACTTGAGCATACGTTTGAGATTGAGTTGGATAATTATAACTATTTGGTGGAGTATTAAATAAAGGGTGACTGTCTTTTACAATATTAGGCTTAAACTTAAGATTAAATATGTTATGGTTATTTGAATTTTGTTTCTTACGAAACTGGAGATCTTTATAAGTTGAACAGCCCTTATAATTCGCTGAATGATTGCCGGAGCATAGGATGCTTCTCATAGGATCTTGAATAGATAGGACATAGAATTCAGGCAGTCAGGAGAATGGTGATTGTTTCCGCAGCGGACACAGCGAAGCATATATTCGCAATAGGATTTTGTATGACCATTGGGTAATTATGACATTGGTTGATGATCTTTGGCTTGTGAGGTTCTTCAATTTTAATTTTTGTATGTATTAAGGATTCTAATTTATATATACCTTGTGAAAATTCTGTTGGTTCAAGGTCGATGTAGAAGAGTGGAAAAGGGTGTTTATTGATTCGATGAATTACTTGCGTAACTAGCCTTACTTCAAATAAAATTTTTTAATTTAATTTATTTTATAAAACTTTTAATTAAGGTTGTTGGAGTAGAAAGATGTAGATTACGCAAAACTACACGAGTTGTCTTATCGTCAATTAATTGGAAAGTGTAGAACTCAGCTTTTTCTTCTTTTTAAAAATGCACTATAGTTCTATAAGAATCTGGGTTCGATGTTTGAATTTTCAAGTGATCCGTGGTTGATTTACAGAAAAAATGATGGACGCCTATCAAGTCGATTAATGCAGTACATAAGCTAGGAAAATTTTCAACTTATTTAATAAATATTGGAAAGATTGGTTTGATTGTAGGATGAACCGAGGCTGAGGCGATGAGTTGTGGTTCATCAATGATGATTTTTTCATTGGTTGTTTCGTTTGGTCTGAGTATATCAAATCTTTTTGATGATGAGAACAGTTTTTTTTTTTTTTATTGGTTTATATTTGCGGTGATTATGAGGATTCAAAATTTGAAGAAATAGAAAGATTTATTTTTTTAGTATCTACCCAATTACCGAGTGGCGATAATACGCGATGTAGTTATTGTTTAATTTAATTGAGTATTCGGGGGGTGTTTTTCCCTTTTTTTTTGTTGCCTTAGTTGTATTAGTCAAAATTACATTAATTAGAAATTCATATAATTGGCGTATATCAGTTTTAATCTTAGTTTTTAATTAGATACAAACACGTAATCTAATCACTAGTCCAAAGGTCACCATGAGTATCGGTGCCTTGGAAATGAGATTAATATTATACCATACACTGTACCACTTAGCACGCACTTACAGTTATAATATACAAAATTGGATACTCCCTATAGTACGAGGGTTCAACGAATTGAGTTAACGAAGCAGGGTTTAAGTGTTCAAAAACTACGTCGAATGGTAAAAGATACGAATATTTCGGCACGGATAAGATGCAACAATTCGAACATAACGCGGGGCTACTAAAAGCATGTGTGCATAGTACCACTGTTCACGCGTGACTAAAATATATTGAAAAATAATAGATTTAGAACAGATGGATGAGCTTGGTGAAAACATACAAAAGGTCTCAATGGTCTGTTTAGCATTAAAAAAAAAAAATTTATTTTTCTATATACTATTAATTTTTTTTTTTTTTATTAATAGAAAAGTTTTTTAACTAAAATCTGTTTATAATATGATAGTTATTAGATTAAATACCTTAATTTCTTGTTCATATTATTTTCAGATGAAAAAAGGAGCCGGAGGATCATTGGCGATCGTAGTCCCTCCCGATGGTGGTTGGGGATGGGTAGTCGTTTTCGCAGCATTTTATTGCAATGTTGTTGTAGATGGAATAATTTATTCTTTCGGCATGCTCTTAAAGGACATGGTAGATTCATTCCACGAGTCAGAATCAAAGATCTCAATTGTTGGATCCCTGTTAAACGGATTTTATTTGATTGCAGGTATTAAATACATTTTACACTCTTGCACTGCAGGATTAATCAAATTTTACATTACAAAACATAATGCATTACTTTAGGAAACAAACTACAAATACTAACATTTTTACTATTTTCTTAACATAAAATATGTACGACACTGTACATTCTTGAGCACAATAATACGTACCTACACAATGCTTTTAAAATGCACACATCTTAATTATTATTTTATTATTATCTATCTAATAATTGCAGTAATACCACACAAATATGTTTTTTTTTTCAATTAAAGGCCCATTCGTAAGTGCACTTCTAAATAGTGTGGATTTCCGAGCGGTCACTATTATTGGAAGCATAATATCCTGCATTGCATTTGCATGTGCAACTTACGTACAATCTCTGTACCAACTTATGTTCTGTTATGGTATTGTTGGTGGTAAGTTTTAGTTTTAATTTAATATGTATTATATAGTTTATGATTGTATATATTTATATTAGATAACTTTCTGTGAATTGTTTTAATATTTTCGTATTAAAATATTTAAGATAATTTGTTTTTATATCAATAAGATTTATCGATATTCTCGTACACTAACAGTTTTTAAATAATTATCAGGTTCGAATACGTGTACCTATGTTGAGTCTTATAAATATTTTTTTACATAACCACAGTCCTTCGATTTTAAATTTTATTAGCAGTGGAACGACATGTTTCAACTATTGAAAATATGCCAATACTCTTTACTTATATTATTTGTTCTAGATTATAATCACGTTCTTTGATAATTTATTAGACGAGATACGATTGTGTTATGTAGCTATAGCTTGTTTTCGGTTTCAATGTTCATTAGGTCAAGTACAAAATAAAACTTTCAAAGACTGCACTAAATAGTTTTGTTTCAAATTATTGTTACTAATAGAAGATTTATTGTTTTATTAATTACGTATACCTTGATTTACATAAAATAATAATAAGGCATCATATATAACATAATAATAAATTATGACAATAATTTCATATAAATTAGTCTGTTTATATTGAACTTGCCTATAGGATAGTTTATACTAAATACGTGAAAAAAAATTCGTATCTAAATAATTGTTATTTTTATTTTTACAGGTGTCGGATTCAGTATGATATATGTATCTGCGGTATTGATACCAGGATTTTATTTTGATAAATGGAGAGCATTAGCAACAGGTATAGCGGTATGTGGATCCGGAATAGGAACATTTGTGCTTGCACCATTGAACGCATATTTGGTTCAACAGGGTGGTTGGCGAATTACCATAGTGGTTCAAGCGGGTACATTTTTAAAAAAATAAATTTGTAGACTTACCTATATATAATTACATTTCAAAAGTTATTAAATAGAACAGAAACAATTCAACGCTTGTTTTTTTGAAATACAATTTCACCAAAGACCAGACAGATTATTTAAAATAATTAATTTTTTTAAGAAACCATATTTTAGATAACGAATCAATATACTTTTCAATATTATTTAATTTGAGTGTTTAGTGTAATATGATAATATTAAGTTTAGAATTTTCCAAGAGGTAGAAAGTTTGAAAATTGTATTACTGTTTTCACTCACAAAAACAAAGTGTAAATATTTAAAAAAAAAAAATCAATCCGAAAAAATAATTAATATTACTAAAATATTTTAATATTTATAATTATTATTAATATTAAATTTAGGTTTAGCATTAAGTTGTGCTTTGGTCGGGATACTTTTTCGACCATTAAAACCTACCATTGTTGAAGTGCCAATTTCTAACAATCCAGTTGTAATGGAACCTAAAATACCGGAAGATGAGCCACTACTGACGATAAACGCCGAGAGAAAAATGTCATTGGACAGTAAACATAATTCCTCTAAAATCGGAGCTCCGACAGTCGAAGAAATTTACAATCATTTGTCTGATCGTTTGACGTCCGAACCTCAGAAAATAAGTTTATCTTGCCATTCACTTAACACGCACCATCAGTACCTGAAAGATAAATTATCACCACCCGAAACACCGGAAAAGAAATTATCCGTAGTCAGTCTACGAAGACCATCTCTATCGGCTCACTTAATGGATAGAGATGATCGATTTTTCGGAGGAAGCTTATCTAGACTACCTCAGTATTCCTCGCAGGTAAGATCATTCAGTATAAGTTTTCCTTATTATATATCATTGTTAATATATCTATTTGAAAACGTTCAAGACTGTAAAAAACGTATACGCTGAAACGTGGTTGAAATAGGTTGAATCAAGATCCATGGTCTTATGCTCGTATGATAATTGCAGGTTGCGCGCAATGACACACGTGCGTGGGCTAGATTTATTTATTTCTTGCAGGTTTCGTTATGTTTCTAGGTGAGCTCATTGAACTACGCAATGTCGGTAACGAGAATACCAGCTTGGAATGAAATTGAAGAAGAAGGAGAAGACCCTTGCGCCAAGAACAACTCGTTCCGAAAAAACATGAAAAAGTATTATAAATCGGCCATGCACACACTCACGACGATGTTGGACTTTTCGATTTTGTCCTCTCCGTCGTTTTTAGTACTAACGTGCAGCGGTTTTCTAACGCTACTCGGGTTTTTTGTCCCGTTTATGTACATCAGCGGTAACTATAAAAATAACAGACTCACACAATAATGCACTATGAAAATTAAAATATGTTCTAAAAATCAAAAAGATGCAAAGAGATGTAAAATAAATTTTTTGATGTGTGAAATAAACTTTGTGTAAAAGGATATATAAAAAAAAAAATGCACTTCACATTCGAGTTCGCATCCTAGTAATAATCAATACGTACTAATAAACGAACAATGATGGTTATGTTCGGGATAATTTAATAATTTTAGATTCTGAGTGAATAAATGAGCATGGCGTGTGTTGTTTTGTTTTGGATCTGTATACACGATTTTAACCAGTTCTTCTAACATCACAATCATAGAAGATTTCTAATATAAAATGTTATCTACTTGGTGCTTTCGAATAGGATAATTTTACGACTTTTTCTTCGTTTTTCTAAATAATCGCAAAAAACAAACAAAAAGTTATAGAAATGAGGCATCATATACGACATACCAGTTTTCAAACATTTTGATAAAACAATTTCGGACTGACCAAAAGTCTTGAAAATTCCATCAAAAGTTATTCAAGATGTTTCATATAATTATCTTTGCTAAAAAAAAAAAAAATTATTTTAGTTTGTGTTGTTTATGGTTACTTAACATTATTGATTTTCCAATAATGTAATTGCACTTTTTACTTTTGTAAAAGTTAGAATATTAAATTATCTATTTTATTTAGAAATAAATAAAATAATAATAATAAATAGTTTTTCTACTACTGTGGTTCTCAAAATAAGTCTTAGGTATCCACGGGAGAAATCTAGGGAGCCCGTGGCCACGTAGGCACACTTAAAATAATTAAATTTAAATGTTATTATTTTCTTTAGTTATTGAGGAAAAACGTTGGGATGATTACTTAAATTGCGCGATTTAGTTTAAAATCAGACTTATTGATAAAATTTGGTTATTTTGACTTCATTACTCGACTGATATTTTCACAAAATTAAATAAAATAAATTTATCTATAAGTACATGATAAAATTACAAAATCTGAGCTTTTTAGAAAAAATAAATTAATTTTGGGCTTGTGTTTTTCTCGATATAAAATTTATAGTTTCACCCTGGAATATTTATAATCGATTAATATTGTAGAATTAAATGATATTTTCTGTGTACTTATTATTGTTGTCTCAAATGGAAATTCCTGACTTTTGGGGCTCCGAAAATTTTTTAGAAATATAAAGGCTTCGCAAATAAAAAAGTTTGAGAACGACTGTTCTACTTTATCAACTAATTTCAGAAATATAAACTCATTCATTCGACCTCTTTCGTTCAGAATCGTTTTTTAGAGAGCAATGATACATTGGTTTCAAGTTTAAAATATCAATACAGCAATAGCATTTGCTCATCTCTGTATCTTACCCGACTGTGGAGTTTCGTCCTTCTTTTTATTTCCTATTTGATTTAATAATTATTCACTTTATGTTCATGTATTTATTTTAAATATTTATATAGAAAAAGCGATTAGCGAGGGTATGGACAAAAACGTAGCTGTGTGGCTGGTATCCACGACTGGCATAACCAACACTTTAGGCAGAGTGATTTGTGGTTGGATATCTAGTTACGAGTCGGTCGATCCGATTCTGGTAAATAACGTGTCTCTTACGTTTGGAGGACTGTACACCATTTTGTTGCCAATTCTTCCATATTCGGTGTTTTCTTACTATTTGTACGCGTCACTGTTTGGATTTTCCATGGGTAAGCACACTGCGGTTCTGAACCGTGAAAATAAAAATAAAAATTGTTTATACATAGCTATATGCTAATTAATAACATGATTTGTATTATCACAATACACTTTAGCTTGTTTTGCGTCTTTAAGATCGACTATGATCGTCGAGCTGACTGGGCTCGAACTCCTAACAAACGCTTTTGGTGTTTTGTTGATGTTCCAAGGAGTAGCGGCCGCCATCGGGGCTCCATTGCTAGGCAAGTATAGATCAAAAGTTGTTAACGCACACATACATACATCATATACATGTATAGTGATTATTATGTTGTACCTCGTGTGCTGTTACCTCTTGGGCGGTTGTCAATAAGGGCGGAACTCTTTTCGCCCAAAAATGACCTTCCTCTTTTTGCCCACGTCCTCTTTTCGACCAAAAATGAAAAAAACAGTTTCCTCTTTTCGCCCAAAAATAATTGCATTATTTTCGCCCATAGTTTCACGTTTCACATTTTGGAAACCACTTTCTCAAAATTAATAATTTTTAAAAAATCTTATTTGATATTCGATAAAATCACGTTTTTGATTGTTATTAATATAGTCAGTCGAGAAAAGTGTATAAAGTTGCCGACTCTTCTATCGAAATATATAGTTAAAAACACTTTAATAAATGTTATAATTACTTAAAAGTCATAATTAATATGAATATTTGTATTATTTTACAACAAAACAAATTATTTATTTAAGTAGTAACCTGATCAAATTACTTATTAGTTATTTTACATCGATAACACTATTTTAAATACTTATTTTTAACACTTATTAAATTATTATTAATAATTATATATTTTTTCTATTTTTTTATTTGATTATTATATGATTTTTTTAAAAATTATTAATTTTGAGACAGTGGTTTCCAAAATGTAAAATGTGAAACCATGGGCGAAAAGAATACAATTATTTTTGGGTGAAAAGAGGAAACTGTTTTTTCATTTTTGGTCGAAAAGAGGACGTGGGCAAAAAGAGGAAGGTCATTTTTGGGCGAAAGGAGTACCGCCCGTCAATAACTATTTTGTTGAATGCTTCTATTTTTATCTAAATTTTTGTTACGATTATAACAGGATTGTTTAAAGATTTAACCGGTAACTACAATATGTCATTCTATTTATCCGGAGTAATACTGGTTACGTCGGCAGTCATCTGCTATCCTTTGAGAAGAGTCAAAAAATGGGAAGAAGACAAAAAATTACGACAACACAATGTTTGATTACATTTGGAGAAAAAATTAAATCTATTTTACCTGCCATACTTTTTATTTGTTAATCACGACAATAATTTTTCTTCAAATATAAAAATGTGTATTATACATCCTCGAATCATTCTTTTTTTTTAAAGTATTTCGATGACGTATATTGTAACTGTATGAATTTTTACTATTGTAACTATAGCTTTATAAATCATTATTATTATTATTATTATTTTATTTTATTTTTTTTTTTTTTTTGTTAAAAATGTATATTTTAAATGTGACAAAGTTAAAAATTAATAAATATTATATATCTTTGTAACTGAAACTGTTATTACGTTAAGTGCGCATTATTGTTTGAAAAATCCGTCCTAGCCGAAACATGGATGATTGTGAGCTCTTTCACCAGCGGTTGTTATCAAACTAGAAAGAAATAAAACTCGGTTCGCTGCGCTATGTATAATTGCGTAGGTACTTGTGTGTATACACCAACGCCGTTGGCGACAATATCGATTTAACGCCGGCGAACACGCTACGGTTGAATGTTTATGAATACACAAAAACAGTCGACGCGCTTCGGGGCGTAGCGTTTGTCTCAGTTGAGCTTGCAGTCGCCGACAATGGATAGGTTGAAAAAGTACTCGACGTGCGAAGCGAAAACGTTGCAACACATCTACGAAGTACGTGATTATGATTATGATTATTTATTACGTTGATAATTAGCCCGGTACAACAATAATCGGCGAACTATTTCAATCGCTCCGAGCGCGCGCGCGAGATGCTATGCGTACAATAGATGATTATTGTATTTTACCGTTTATCAGTTTTTGTTGTCCAACAACATGACGGAGACCTCCGCCTGTTTCCTCGAGGAATGTTGCAAGCTGAACATGCCGGCGCCGTCGAGAACGACGGAGACCAATGTTCCAGCTCGCATATCCAAAGACCGTGCGGCGTCCGTAATCGAATCTTTTCAAACCGCTTCTAGGTCAACGTTTATGAAGGTATGAGAGGAACGGCAATGAGCACTTAAAAATGTCACACGGATATTTCGTCCAACGGGTGTCAACTGTATTTATGTACGAATTGATAACTCAAACGAGGCTTAAGTGATTCGCGAATACCGTACATGGTTTATCTAGAGTATTTCGAGTGCATTTAAAACACTATACATTATGTGAAGTTCGTACATGTAGTATTTTGAACGTATGCGAAAACAATACGATTACTTATTTTCCCGTTTTGATAGAACTGTTGGGAATTATTATTTTTTTATTTTTTTAACATATACTATATAGTATCGTAATGTGTTGAAACAATCAATGTCTGAATAATGGCCGATTTTTTTACGACCGGATTGTGTAACGGTCGTGTACTCGCGGAATGTTCACAGATATGGGACGATTTGCCGAACGAGATTAAACGAATCGACGAGTACAGAAAACTAACGTTCTACCTTCACGTGTACTACACCATAGAAGAGTGTGAAAAACGATCGGGTAAATCTGAAACCTGTAGCGACAGCAAATGCGGGGAAAACGACGAGGGAAGTGCGATGGAGGCATTTCGCACTTTTCTCGTGCAAAGGGGTGCGGAGTTCAGCACAAAAACCGAATTCCTACCGTATTTCGCGCTGCCCTACGTGTTCGACCCGATGCAACATCCCTCGTTCAAAAATCTGTTCAAAGTACATTGACAATGTTATAACAATATCGATTAGACATCCGAACGCGCGTAGTGGGTCTAAAATTATTCTATCTATGACTTTAAGGGAAACCGATGGTGCGTCTCGTTGAACAAACGACTGGAGGACTTTATTCTGGATATCGCAATCAACTCGTCGATCATACTGGTGCCCAGCAAAGACGTGCAAAAACGAAAACTAACCAAAAAAAATTTTAAATCGCTGTACAAGGAATATAAACCCTTGAATGGTTTGTATAAATAATCCTTCGTACTCAAATAGTTCGTTTGGCGTATCGTAATTCAATAAAGCGTAATACATAATATAAATACTACAGTATATTACAATATTGTATTCATGATATTATAAATAATAGTTTAAATCTTAATTTAATTGTTTCCTTGTTTCGCTATATTATTTGTGTACAATTTAAATATTGTAAGTGTTTTGTAATATCGTATTGTTAAAACTCTTCTTATAAGTCGCATGGCGTAAATTCTAATGAATAGTATAAAATAAATAATATCAAATATATATTAGATTGACATTAGTTTTAGCGGCAGAACTTTTAAACGCGTTAGAAAACTCAATACGAGGACAATCGATTAATTTAGAAATTATTTTGAAAAATTGTAACGCCGTGGTGGAAACTAACGAAGAGAACGAAGTTAGTTTTTACTTTAATAGTATTTAACATAGAATTAGTAATAATATTACTAATATAATACAATGCCAATACTTAAATATACTTTAATACATTAGCAAAACTTAAAGATGGTAGATGATGGATTCGATTTGGCCGTGTATAAAATCAAACTCGAACTTCGAGACGGTAATAGTACCAAGAACAAATTACTAATTTTACAAGCTCTGCGGTGGGTAAGTATAGAAAATGTGTCAATTAATTTCAAAGTAGTCCGAAATCATGTCAACTATTCGTACACTTTCAACCAAAGCTCGGAAGCTGATGATTTACATGTTTTTTCTGTGTAATTCCTATACATTTATAACGGACCGAATTATTATATTAATTTCATATACTTACTACTATTTCTTACAACCGTTCGTGTAACAACGTTTCGTCATTCATCTCATCGAGTATTCGTCCGTAATAAAAAATATATAAATAATATTTTCTTGTGATTTCCTCTGAAGTTCAAGTGTGGTTCGTTTCGGTATAGTATAGTTTAGTGTTTTTTCATATTTTTTCTAAGAGGTTGACCAAATCGGAGAATAGATCGGACACGGTGGCCATGATGAAGAAACACGATCTGTTGGACTTGCGTAAGACGAAAGCCGATAATGGTATCATGAAATGGTTAACGATGACGAACGGACCTCACCCACTGCAGCAGATGATCTCGAGACTGCTGAACGCGCTAGCGTCTTTCCACAATGGTCGCAGATATCTGGCGGGTTCGCCGTTCCTGTTGCGTCTCATCGTGACCCAGACCATATCTTCTCAACACTTTTGGGACACGATCACGAGCAACATGTTGTTGGGAACGCTGCAAAAACTCAGCACGAAGTGAGTGTTTGCCTGTATGCAATACACTACTGTCATGGACGTAAATAGCTCGGGCGTAGGTTCAAAAGTTCCCTAAGCCATCTTAAGATCACTCTAAGTCGTGTGTGTAGCGGGTGGAACATCAAGCCCCTACACCCTCGTTATTATTTTTCTTAAAACCTATTGGACTCAAGCATTATGCGTGTGGTGAGGAGACCCTATTTACGTCAATGAGTTACTTCCATTTGCCATATAATACCAGTTTCTGACCAGTAAGACGTGGTACGGCTAATGTATATGCGCTGAACAAAACCGTTTGATAGATCGCGACAGCGGACGACGATGATCGCGGCAGGCTTGACCACGTGGTTGGCCGATCAGCTCGTCCGGAAGAGCGAATTCGACGGTGATCGGAACAAGTACGAGATGTATGACCTGGAGTATAGTCTGGCGCTTTTCATGAACCTGTGCCAGTGTCAGTCGGCCGTTCAGGCTTGTAGTTCCCGTGCCCGTAACCTGTTCAAGAGCCTGAGCATTTTCATCTCGACAATGGACGTGGACGTTAGTACATAACTACCAGTGGCGTGTCAATGATACGGTTAAGTGGGGAGACGTTAAAAATTTAAGACTTTAATTAGATAGTTTTATAAACAGAAAGAAAAAACAGACCATTTGGATAAGGGGGAAGAAAGGTTGAACTCCCAAGATCAAAACACTCGTAACGCTCCTGATTTCATATTATATCTTATGTATACACAGGGGTCTTCTGAAAATGTTATTTGTTAACTGCTGAGCTCCGTATAGCATGGAATATTTGAGTTTGGTACTTATATTTTATGTGAAAACCTTCCGATTTCGCGAATTTTAGAAATAATATTTTACACAGTTGTGCTCATTGTTATCGTACACCAGAGACGGCTGAGTAAGCTTAGACCGAAACTAAACGTTTCTCTATATGATACGAAACGAGCCTAAATACTATCTTATATATTCTGATTTTTTTGACTTAACACGGTGTAGACCATCTTATATATTCGCATTGCTTATTTTTTCTATGTGTAATAACGGAAAACACGCTTGCCTGTAAATTATAATATAATTTTTAGGTACATAAGATTTATTAATTATTATGTGTTAACAATACGATTTTCGTTTGCAGATTATACCATGTATATCTGGAATATTGTACAACTTTTTTAAAAATCCGGGCATGATGGCTGTGGCTAAGGAGGAAGGGCTAACCGACGTCATCGAGAAAACGATCGAAAATAATATCAACGCGTATCCGTCGGCGATTGAACAACTAGTCGACGTAAGGAATATATTGTTACAAAACAAACATCCGGCTTTCGATCTATCGGACGATGATGATGATGATGACGACGACAAGGAAGACTACGACGATAATAGCAACGAAGACGAAAGAAGCAGCGACAACAATGACGATAACGTAAACATTTTTTTTTCCAAATATATTATTAAATACAATACATTGATAATTATTAAAATATTAGCTTGCTAAATTTAATGTATATAATTCGTTGTTTAACCAAATAACTCTTACTAACTTATTTAATACGATGTATTGTACAATATAATTAAATACAAAGATTAACGGTTGGAGGGTGTTAACATAAACGAAAATGTAACAAATCAAAATTACCGACTTTTATAGCGTACCAATAGCAGTTCCGATGCCCCATCGACGAATTTAGTGATTGTTTGTGATATTTGAATTGTGAAGGTTTAAGTTTTCAATGATGTCAACATTTAGTTTTGAAACCGTACTGATCGACCCTTCCTTCAAATTCGTAATTTCAGTGTACAGTTAATGATAACAGTTGTTATAACGGTTCTTCGATTGAACATGTAGTAAAAATACGTTATTCTATATAACAGCGTTTCTCAACCAGGGGGTCGCGTAGGTCAAAAATAATAAAACGCTGATTTACAAAATGTAAATTCAAATCAAATTTTTACCTAATATAGATGGAGGGGGGTCGCGAAGTGATTGACCATATTTTATAACTATTTTGCGAGTCGCAACACTAAAAAGGTTGAGAAATTATGCTATATAATACTCCGCCGATGACGATTTCGAGATTTCGAGTACAAATAATTGTATCGGTTTTTCATCATTCGATTAGGTTGTCAGATCAGGGTCGGGTGAACATGACTGTCCAAATCATCTCCGATGTACTCGAGTTTATCAACGGGTTTTATTTTTTATTTTATAGGACGACGTCGAAAATCTAGAGGCTGAACTAGACGAAGATGACCCATTGAAGATTCAACCAAACGGCGAAGATTTTCTTGTCAACTACAAAACGGCGAATCGTGCGACGCCCGAACAATAACAGTGCAACAATATAGTATCGTATTATTCGTATAAAAACGCCTTGTAAACGCTATGTAGAGATAACTCAATACACATGTATGTACGTATCCTTGTACACTTTATACCTAACTCAGTTATTGTTTTCCCGTCTCACACGGGACCACAATATTATAATACACCGACAAACCGTATCCGTTGCTCAACAGTATTGTTTTAATTATTATAATTATTTATTTATTATTATTATTGTGTTATTATTGTATTGCTTTTTCGATTAACATAAGTATTGTGGCGGTTAATTACGCGAATACAAATGTTTAAGACGGCAAAAAAAAAATGTAAAACAGATTAAAAATCTAATTTTAAAACCGCAGCATTCGTGTTTACCTTTTCACCACTTTAATTATTTTTAATCTTATGTCTCGCGTAGAGATAATATTATATCATGTTATACGCTATACAATCTAAATATTGATACATTATAATTATTATTGTGATAAAGATAACATTGGTGCCTTGCATAGAACATTCACTGTATCTGAAATATGTTACCGTGTTTTTATAGAAATATAATATACTATATATATACATTGTACAGTATAAAATACAATGCGTTAAACGAATTCTCACGTTTTTGTCAACATGTTTTATCTACAGCAGACAATGAATTTTACTATTTTGTCTTGTTGCATAACAAACAAATGATACGGTATATACTACGATGAGCTAATAATAATTTTTGATTTTATACAATCGTATAGATACGTACATACTTGTTAGTCAATTTTTAAACGTATTTATATTGCAGTAATTGTATGTTAATTTAAATGAATTTTTGTGTCATTAGTCATTCCCGTTATGATAGCACTTAATAATACGGAAAATGAATAGAAAACCGTCTATGTACACATTTCAAAACTGTTTATAATTATTCCGAAGAAATCGTTGTGAGATAGGATTTATGAGTATTTAATAATGTTCATCAGCTAGAATATTTAAAAATATCCACTTAAAGAAGAGAGAGAGAGGGAAGAGTGAGAGAGAAAGAGAGAGAGAGATAAGATATTTTAATTTAGTCGGAATAACTACTAAAGTAAGATCTTGAAAAACGTGTCGTAAACGTCCACGAATGGATTAGCAGCTGCGTTTAATATCAGTCAAGAATGCATCCAAATGGAGAAAATAATTGGCACATTTTCAATAATGTCGAGCTAGATGAATTTATAAAATTTGGTCATTTGATAAGCTTAAGAGTCGTCATAATTAACTATATATCATTTACTTAAATATCTACTACGGAGACGGGCCTGGAACTCAACCAAAATTAAAATGAACAGAGAATTTGAATTTCTAGTAACCATTTAATGATTCCCAAAAACTATTATCCTCCTTACATAGTTTTCTTTCACATGTTCATGTACTCATGTGTCACTAAAAATCAAAACAAAATCATAAGACGCAAATTATTATTTGTATGTACTTTTTCTTACAAATTGTATGCTAAAATAACAAAAATAATAAAATCAAATATGCTTTAAAACGTGATTGGAGATGTATTGATAAAATTACACAAAATAAACGCATTCAAAAATAAAATATTTGGAAGAGAAATATATTGTGTCCATCTATTACCGTTATTATTCCCCAACGGCTGAATCTTTGTCAATATAAAAAATAATATACATTATGTATTCCATAATTATAATGATAAAAAAAAACTGATAACCTTTAAATACTATATAATATACATCATTGGTCCCGTTTACGTTCCGTAAATGTTAAAAATTTTGATTTTCATGTACATTAGCATTACAATAAGTTATCAAACTAGTAAATATAAAGTTATATAAGGCTTAGTCCGTTTATGGGTGTTTAAAATAATAAAAAATATTAAGTCAGGCGCTATCTTGTACATTATAAAGAATAAAAATAAAGTTAGTGTAAAATCATTTTTACATAAAATATGCGTCTACGCTTGTTACACTGCAGTATAGTTGAAATTAACTCAATTGAAAAGTCGAATCTAAATCAAAGTTATTTTTTTTTTTTTGGTTTTAACTGCAAAGACAACTTGAAATATCGTACTATAAATACTAAAGCAATCATCTGGGATTTCTAATGACAATGAATTATTTTAAGTTAATCTCTATTTAAATTTATGTAAATCGACACTGCTGATATTTCGTTTACGTCGAATGTAAAACAAGCGCGATGACATGGTAATTAATGATGTATATAATATATATATATATATAATAATAATGACTTTTTGGCGCACATATAATATACTCGTATAGTTTACTAAGACCGTGCGCAGAAATACGACCACGGTGGTTTCGCAAAATTAAAAATCGACGTTGCATACGATAATAGATACGCGCTTTCGAATCGAATAAAACTTTCTATTGAAATTGTAATAATATGCGCTTCCGTACGTGCGTTTTAAACGAATATTTATAAACATATACAGACGATACAATAATAATGAAATGTATAAAGAACTCCTGCTGGGCCCTGTTGTCATAGCCGCCGCCACAACCACCGCCACCGCTCGGAGGTAGTCACCGCATGAATGTATAATGAAGTCTGACCGGTTCTATAGCCGTCGTATTTTTTTTTCTTTTAATTATATTATTATATTATACATTTTTCAATTTACCGACAGAAAAAGATCATTGATCTTGGAGTTCATTTTTGAACAACAAGCTCGTCCGACGGCCACGATCGCACTTATATATACGGTGTGCGTCTTACGTCCGAGTCGCAGAAGTGCGAAAACAGACGGACGATCACAGCAGCAACAGAAATAGCAGCAATAATAATAACACCATTGTAATCGTTAGTGTTTATAATCACCGTAAATCGTACCGTTAACATGTTCGCCGTCCGAGTTCCGTTGGCCGTCGTTGGTCTGTGCAGCCTGCTGACCACCGTCGTCGTGTCCGATCAACAGCAGACGTACATAGCGGACGCCACAAAAACGTTGACCAAAGCTCTGATAAAGGTAAATACAGGGCCGTGGAGAGAGAAACCAGGGTCCGGGGGGGTATATCTTAAGGTATATCTTAATTGTTCTGCAGTGTTCATTAAGTTCTTATCTTTGATTGTGTTTAATTTTTAATAACTTGTAGTCCCTAATTTTTATGTCCTCTCAAAAATTCCAAGTCCGGGGGGGGGTCATCCCTTTCACCTCCCTTCTCGTATGGCCTGGTTATATACATACCGTATACATGTAGCTATCTCGTACGATAAGTTGCCCGGTTAGGTCGAAATCGTGTAACCTGTATCCCGGAAACGGTCTCAATAAGAAATCACTGCACGCTGACCGAAAAATTCGGTCAAAAAACGATCATCCCTGAGCAAAATGTCCAGTTCACCCGGGAGCTCTGTTCAATCACCGGCGACTTCTGAGTGTTGGTCTTTTAGGCTTATTTGCCCGGATCCCGGTCGCAGTAGAGCCTTGTGTGAGCCGCTAAACTCAGGAACTCTGCGATTTGCATAGAATATTTATGAGTTATTTCGTACTCGCGGTGCCATCATTACCTATGTATTAACATTGCCTTCCTATGTGTTCTGTAGGCGACAGCCGAAGACGGTTTCAATTACGTGGCGTCTCCGTTCACTAGCTCGGTAATTTTGGCGCTGGCGGCTGAAGGAGCCGAAGCGGAAACAAAGAACGAACTGATTGAGATATTGGGCGGAAATTTACCAGACAAGAATACCTACAAGGAGATACTTACGTCTATTAAGGTGAGCACACATACGGCCAATGTAAATATGTTTTTATGAGTACGACGGTTGTGGATATACCGTATGTTTTAACACTACGATGATTAGCTATACAGAGACAATATATTCAGACAATGTATTCAGGTTATAGAAGCTTTATTCCGGTTGATGGTTCATGTATATTGTATCAAAGTTTCGAAAATTATTCGATTGTTGTGATGTTGTAGGTTATATTAGATTAGATTTACAAATTTTAATGTACTATGTAAATTTTATAACTACATATAGTCAAGATACTATATTTTCAGGCTTCAAACGTACAAAAAATATTAGAAATTATCATTGAAGTTCTATGCTTTTTCTTTGTTATAACATTGTGTTTATGTAGAGTTTTTATTAAATAACTCTACATAAACTCCCTGTAAAAATATCGCCGAACGCCCATGGTTATAATGAAGTAATTAAAATAATCGTTATATTTTGGAATAAATATTTTATCCCGAGTACCAATTCTTTTTTAAATTAATACTATATATATTATTTATATATAATACTTTATATTTATTATTAAGAAGTTACTTTTTATAAATAATAAATGGAATTATAAATCTAATACTATAAAAATATGTGTATACATATTAGTACAGACTATAGTCTGTAATATACCACGTACAGATAATGAAACTTGAAAGTTAAAAAGTTACTCAAATTATTTACTAGCCAACTAATATAAATGTACATTTTTCATAAAAAACGCTTAAGATAACTGACAGCTTCAATTGCGAATATTTATCTTTTTATAGCTCATCATCCACATATTTACGCATTGATTTTATAATAATCAGATAATACTGCCGAATAACTACCTGGGAGCAGGTATAATATATTCAAGAATAAATATAGAAATTCTTTTTAATTTATCCTTTTCAAGTGCATTTTACCCGTTTCCTAGTCGTAAATAATGGTGTATACATTTTTATAAATCATAAAATCAGGTATATTGCAGTTTCGAATGAAACACAACATCTCACGAGCAATAACAAAAAGTTATTATTAAAATATTTTTAATAATAATTGGTCGGCGTGAAAAGGATAACGGATTTCTAAATCATATACATACCGTCTTTTTTTTTTGTCAGTTTATGGTGCTAATTTTCATAATATCTGAAAACAATTTCTTTTTATCCGTATACTATTTTTTAATATCTTGTTCTAATAATTTTAATTCCGAAAAAACTTATTTACATTTAAAACTAAAAGCGTACAGTAAGCTTAGAAATGATAAAAATCGTTTTCGATATGGTTACAATATAATTACTTATATCACTGTCTCTCTCTTCTCTTTTTTCCTTAGAGCTATTCTTCAGACGGTAACTTCCAGAACAAATTGGTGCTGAAGAATTTTCTGTACGTATATAAGAACTACAGCGTACTAGAATCGTTTGCCGATCTTGCCCGCGAGTATTACTTGACCGAAGTGAGGAGCGTGAACAGACCGGACTTGGAAATAATACGCACAGCCAACAACGACCCAAATACTCCAATAGATGACGATGTTACCGGTAACAAATATAATACAGTAGTATTGAACTCCTTTAATTTATTTTATTATTTATTACGATTATTAGGATTCATTTTCCATGAAAAACATTTATAACCCTAAGAAATGCAAGAAGCCCAATGAAATATGCATTAATAATTTTGTAAATAGAAATATATGGTATAATTTATAATTTATAAGCACACGACTATAAGTAAATATGTATTTACAAACCATAATTCTTTATAACATGCGTGTGTAACTTTTAGATTTTAAAACGTATACCATATAAAGCAAACGGATGTCTATAGGGAAACACAATTATAGTATATGTTGCCTATTGTTTGCACTATAAAAAAATATTTCTTCACCTTCATTTTTCGAAACTTTTCAATGATATATGTTAAGTTTTACCGATTTATGGTGAGGACAAATGTTTAACCAAAACGTTATAAAATATATTTTCAACTTGTTTAGCCCATAATACATGAAATCTGGGAATTCATACAATTAAAGTCTTAGTCTTAATCATTTTACCCTTGACCGATGTGAATCCAGATCAGAAAAAACACACCGTTTGATAACAGCAAAAAAGTACCTATAACTCGATTTATGTTTTATGATGATTTATTTTATACCTGCTGTGCATGTAATAATATAAGTATAATAATATATAATATAATAGTATATAATATAAGTGTACATTACTCCTTCGAATAATACTAAGATAATTCGTATATATGTAGTGTGTGGTTTTCTTTTTCTTTTACCGACTCAGTGAATTGGATTAACCTACTTACATATGATTCAAATAAAAAGTGCAAAGGTATTCCTGGCTTGATTTGAAAAATGCGTGAAACCAATTTTGAAGCCAAATCTACGTTATTGGATATTGCCCATGCGTCCAGTCGTATTCGCTTTTAGCGCTAACTCCCCTGAACAAATCGAAGAGTTATACCATATTTATGATATGTTAATTTTGAAATAAATATAAAAAAAGAAACTTACAATTATTAATTTCTTTCAATTTGTTCTGTATTTGAATAGAAAATACATTAGGTATACATGCACAACATGTACATATTAACAAATGTATTTTATATTTATGCTAATTTCAAGTCAGGTTTTGATTTCTCATTCTTATTATGTTTGCCGTTAGGTATTCATAATTAAATCTATTAATATACATACATATATAAATTTAATTAGAATAAGTAACATATACAAATAAAAAACACTGACAAAACAACCGGTTTTTGTAAAATTAAAAATCAAAACTAAATACGATGCAATTGATTACTGAGAATAGATTTCAAATTTCCATTAAAAATAACTATAATAATATATTATAATAGAAATCAGGGAGGAAAAAGCTTAGAAGTGAAAAATGATAACAGAAACATTATATATATATATATATATATATATATATATATATAATGTTTCTGTTATCAATTTTCAATTGTATATATATTATTTTACTTATATTTTCACACTTCTTATAGAAAGTTATACAACCCTTCATTCTAAATCCGGAGGAGAACTAGAAGAATGAAATCGTTTAACTCATTAACTTATGTCATTATTTCCAGAAATTCAATGAAAATCTCGATTATTCCATCAGTTATATAAAGATGATTTTGATTTAATTTTTTGTATAATCTTTCAAAATAATCTTAAAACATAAAAAAAATGTATACATTCTAAGTCATTCTTAAATGTAGTACTTGTAGTATTTATTAGAATTCCTCCAAATTATTATATGAGACTAGAATACGTGTTATACTGTCTATAATATATAAATGTCGATGCATAATATGGGGATGTTTAAAAATATATTTTTTTTTTTAATGCTTAATTTTCTTAACATTTTAATTCATGGTCACGAGCTACTATTAAATAATTTGACTTATACAATTCACATAATACCAAATTATGAGACATTTAATATAAATTCTATTGAATAAAATCGTTTTAATATACTATAAACATTATACTACATACCTATTCATATAATATATAATTAAAATGTATGATAACAAGCAGTTACGACAGTAGAGTCATTGGTGCCTTGGGCGAATAAACAAATATGCGCCCCTCGCCTAATAATTAGTTGTCGTTTTATTTTAAATCGTTATCTGATGCTATTAATAAAATTCTAAATAAATAGCGACTGCGAACGGCGACTGACAATAATAATAAACAAACGCCCTGGGCGTAGGCCTATTTCACCCACCCCTAACACCGGCCCTGAATACAAAATTTGTACACAGAATGGTTTCTTAACTGAATAATAACATTTAAATTTTTTGTCAGCATTTAAACTTATAAATATTTATAGATTAGTCCATTGTTGTGTAGTAATGAATACATTTATTTTATTTTATATTTCCCAAAAAATGCACTGCACTACTCTGTTCATCCAAACGTCGAACATACTTTTATCTCTAATTTAACTTTTGAATCGATATTTGATTTCAGTTCATAAAAATTATCAGAAACATATTATGATTCAGAGTAAAATTTAAAAATATATTAAAATTAATAATTAATAAATCTGCTTAGTTATTATTCGTTCCTAATCGCATTGCTTTTACCGAGTAGCGTTCAAAGAACACGCCATGCTGATCTTCAACGGTTTTTCATTGGATTTGAGTTGGCCGTCTAGTACTTGGCACAAGACGTCCGTATCTTGGAACGGAAACGTGATCCGGGCGTTTGGCGCTGCTGGAAATTTCGCCATAGGGCAAATATCATCCCTCGATTCCACAGTATTCAAATTACCCTACAAGGTGCGTATTACATATTTTTTATAACCTTTAACAATCGGTTATTATTTCTTTACTAATTAATTAATATATTGAGCTTACTTATTTAAGTTTGAATTAGAAAAAATAAGTTTCAAATTAAATTATCGCGCGTTAACATACAATTTATTTCAATTTATTATTATTATTATTATTATTATTATTATTATTATTATATTATTTATTATTATTTCATTTATTATTATATGACCAAAGCCGATAAATATATGACATAAGTTTCGACTTCTAAGCTGATTAAGCATCGAAGAAAGACACATAACTTGTTATGGAACATTTTGCATGGTATCGAAAGAATCGTTATTTATTAGTTTTTAACATAATATAAAATCGAATTATATACATCATTACAATTGATTTGTGAAATGTTAAACAATCGAATGATGCACATTATTACACGTTGCTTCTGTTGACCCAACATTCTACCGCCGAGCTTATCGAAATGAACGAGTGCGTGATTGAGGAAAATCATAGGTGAGACCAAAAAAGTATATTAATTGTTAAAAACTAAAAACATTTAAAAAATAACTAAAGCAAATTAAAGTTTGGACGAGCCACCAACTTTATCCCTACCAATACGTGTTTTATTTTTAGTACCTTTTAAAATGCATAGTCAAATTAAAATACAAAAATGTTTTGTTTCAATAAAAATTTTAATTATGAGGTAAAGCGAATTTTTTAAAAATGTATTAAATATAAATCAAAAATGTATTTACTAACCAAAACACCAAAAACATTAGGAAATTATGTTAAACTAAATAAATACTATTAAACTATGTACCTGTGAGAAAAGTATTGGGCGAGCTTACGCTTCATGTTTGACCCTACATGGATTCAAACGACAGTTCTAGTTGGTAAAACTAATATTTTTTTCTTTTAAATTCACGTTCTCGGTCACAAAATGTTCCATATTTTAACAATAATAGTAATAACAATATAAATTTATAATAATCATTCGCACAACTAGGTGTAAAATATTGGGGGGCTGAAGCCCACCAAATTAATTTAGTCAATGTGAGCCATGGGGGACTTTGCCCCCATACCCCCCATTGCCGCAGTTACAGAACAATAATTATAAATTAAAATAAAAACAATAATAAAATATTATTACCATACTATATTATTAAAAATCATGTACTTACTTCTATGTAGTATATTTTACATAAAATATGACATAACACCACCGCAATATTCCACCGTCGTCCGTCACATTTATTAAATAACAATATTATTATTAACTATGTAGGATTGTAGGAATTACAAAATAAACTATAATAATAGTATTTTATATTTATACAATTTACTTTTGAATAATTCTCGGCGTCATATTCTCATATTATTTAGTATGTATCCCATGCTTAAATTATCATTACATTTTAAATAATCAAAGAAATTTGGGGGTGCTATAATACATTTTGGGGTGGCTAAGCCCCCCTAAGTCCCCCCTAGTTGTGCTAATGATTATAATGTTATATTATGTGTGTCTTATTATAAACAGATTCACATGTATTTCAGAATACTGACTACGCGCTTCTGGTGATTTTGCCGAAAAACAATGCTAACCTGGGTGAAGTGCTGAAAAATCTTCCGAAAATTGGGATCAAAAATATGATCGAAACGATGTCGATCAAACCCGGTTTTGTGACGATGCCGTGTTTCCAGATCAGGAATATTACTGATTTGAAAACAGTGCTGCAAGAAGTACGTAGTAATTAATATAGTAATTAGAATACGTAATGCGACAAAGCGACGATTATTGGCAATTAACCGTACGCATGTTAGAGTGGGGTGGCTGGATTTTTTGATCAGTCGATATAGTTACAGGTTTTAGCAGTGGCGGAACTAGTGGGTGGAAGACGGGAATTCATCCACGGGCGTAAAATTTTAGAGGGCGTAATTTTTGTAATTATTAACAACTCATTTGATATTTTTAACTTTGTTAAATACTGTTATTAGATTAAAACTCAATAAGTATGATTGTATAATAGTTATTAGAAAAAATTTTCGAGAAGAGTTTTTGATTAGTGGTCTATGATAGGGCGTAATTTTAACATTTTCTACGGCCATAAAAATTCCTAGTTCCACCTCTGGGTTTTAGAATCATTGTTCACAATTTTTTATCGTAATTTAACAATTATTTTTTAATCTTATAATTGATACACACACATAGGTGAACAATATTTTTTTACAATTTTATGTTTTATTTTTGTTTTCTCAGCACACCACCGTGAAATCCGTGTTCACCGAATCCGCGGACTTGTCGAAAATGTCCGAGGACAAATTGTACCTAGACGGTGTGGTCCAACAGGCAGGCGTCCGGGTGTGCGTCGGTGGTTCTTCGTCGAACTCGCTGACCAGTACGTGGACAGCGGCCCAACAGCGGTCGATCGCTAATAACCGTGGCTTACCAAATGTTGTTTCAGGTTCAGCGTTCACGTCGCAACGTGTCATCAAGGAGTCGGTGGTCGTCGACCGGCCGTTCGCGTATGCGCTTTACAACACGGTCAACGGCATAATGTACGTGATCGGCAAGGTGGAGCAACCCGTGTGGGACGAAGAGGACATCGTAGGCGAAGACTCGAGCATCGAGACGATAAAGATGTAGGCACGACAGGATCTACAGGATACGAGTATTGATACGATCGGTTTTAGGATGACGTTTACCATTTAATTGGCAGTATAGTATTAAATACATTATAGCTGCTGTATTTGTACGACGTTTAAGATCGATGCTATTACTATAACACAATACGTGCATCGGTTTTATTCCACGTTGTTTGATACGATTTATTTATATCATTAATTTATATTTATTTAACGCACCATAATTTATTTTTTTAACAATAATTGTAGATATATATAAATATAAATAAATAAATATACAAATATATATATATATGTTGACTCTTATTCTTCTTTTTCAGTTTAACGGTTCTTGAAGGACCTGAGCTGCTGGTACAAATATATATGTACAACAAAATAAAACTGTGTTATATGCGTTATTATTTAAACCTGCGTAGACGATGTGTCAAACAGTCACTAACTGCACCAGCACTCTGCAGGACCTTAAAAAATAATAGGCATATATGTGTATAAGTTCTAGACTACATGTGAGCCCAACTCACCAACTATATGAATTATGACCAAGGCTCGGGACTCATAGCACTTAAAATAATTAAATTAAGCGCTCAAAAAAGCAGGGCTTGAAATCAAAATAAAAAAATGTCGATTTTAATTTTAATTTTGATTATTGATATTAAGTTTTTTAATTTCGATTTTGGTTTCAAATATTGATATTTATTTTTTGCAATTTCGTTTTTGATTTCGAATATCGATTTTATTTTTTCAATTTCGGGTTCACTACAGAATGTTATCCATGACTTATAATAATTTCTCAAATTTTAGTTGATCATCAGTGTAATAGTGTTGTTGGCAGTAGCGACAAGCTACTGCATGTAGGTAGTATATTTTTAAATCCATTTTTTTATTACCTATGTTATAAAACTTTTCGTACAAACTACAATTATTATTAAAGTGTCTCCAAAATGAAAAAACATAATATGAAGCTAAAATGAAGTAAACTAGGGATACATCTATGTGAAATGATTAAAATGTAAAATAAAGTTTTTATTCATAGATTTAGACATAATTTAACTAAATATGAGAACAATGTTTTAAATTATAACGACGCCTTGCAAAAGTACTGCAAAAGTACAAAATAAAACTATTTTAGGTTATTTTATTGTATATTATTAGTTTAAAGTATAACTCACGGGTAGGATTGCCATCCGTCCCGATATATCGGGACTGTCACCTATATTGAGCTCTTGGTCCCGACGTCCCGACAAAAGACCAATAAGTCCCGATTGAAACTGTGCATTGCAAATTTCGCTTTATTGCATACAAATATGCATGACACATAGGCGGAAATTGGGGAGGGGTTGAGGGGTCTTAGCCCCCTCAAAACGTACAAATAGAAAAATTAGCCCCCTCAAATAATTGATCACTGCAGGTTACTGCAATAAATAATAATAAATATTAACTTTCAATTCAAATATTGTTGGAACGCGAATAAAACATTTAGAGAATATTATAGAAAAAAAAATAGGATGTGATATATTTTCTGATTTCATTGTCAAATGCCTAAGTCCATACAGCACAGAGGCACAGCATAGTAAATATTTAAGAATCAATATATATATTGATATATATATATATATATATATATGTATATTAGTTTATTAGTACCTATATATAAACGATATCAGTTGAATCTAATGATTGGTTTCAATGCGCAGACAACGATATCTCATTATTTTCTTGGAATTGTTAATTATGTTATAAAAATAGACGAAATAGTAAATACCAATGTAAAATTTGACAATTCCAAACACACAACAGTGATATTTCTATTTTATTAGCCATTCAACCATTGTCCATTGCATCATATGTACTGTTAAGTGTTGTTTCGTTTTTTTAACTTCGTTCAATTTTTTTTTAAATATGTCCAAAAATGTATTTGACATATTTAATTAAAAAAAAAAAATGTTCCGACCGTCGATATTGACTAAGTCAGAATTGATTCTGCATTATTTGAATCATCTTCGACTGTACATTCAGGCACGGTAAAACAATAGAATAAACATTTACAGCATAATAAATTGATAAGTGATTTGGGAACTTTAGACACAGGCCCTGTTCGTCCATTGCTAAAAGTAAGTATTTTTAGTTTTTACTTGTACCGAGGTACCTACTTGTGAAATATTGAATTCAAATAATATAAGACTATCTACTTGAAGTTAATACAACATTTTTTATTTTATAACTGTGCTATAGACTTATCCAAAAACTAATTTTGGTTCACAAAACTGAAGTTTTAACGATAAATACTATTCAAAATATGAATGGATTGAATATAGTATTGTGAATGATGCTATTTTTTTTTTTGCTGTCGGCATTATTCTACCGGAAAAAGTGTACAAGATGATGTGTTTACATTAACTGGGTTTAAAAATTGGAAAAAAGTATAAAAGTATGTTTAACAAACTTAATGATAGATAGTAGCATTGATTATAAATGCTATATTTATAATCAATAGTAGTTGGTACCTATACTTTTTGTATTATAATCTGATACGTTCAAAATATTGTATTATATACTCAATTGACTATTTAGTTAACTGGATCAAGAGGGAAAAAAGGCAATAAGCAAAGTAAACTTGAAGCACATTCAACTTGTAACCACCATTTGACTTGCATGACTAAATGGGAACAACATGTTAAAACTAAGTCCTCAGGTAGCATTCATGAACAATTATCTTCAAGTCATAAACTGATTGTTGAAAAGAAGAGAAAATATATAAAAACTCTTATTGAAATAACCTTATTTTTGAGCAAACAAGGACTGGCTTTCAGAGGACATGATGAATCTAAACTTTCTTCAAATAAAGGTGAGTAGTATTATTTATTAACTACTGTGCAATAACATTTAATTATTTACTTATCATATAATCTCTATAAAAAGTCAAGTAATGACTTTTTTTGTTTATTCTATAAACAAATTATTAAATATTTAATATTAATTAATTAATTTTTAATATTTAATTTATTAAATAATATACCCCAATGAACATATTTGTATGGTAGGCCATATTGTGTTCACAATTTGTAATACATATATGTATTCATATTTTATTAAATATGGAAATTTTAAAGAAACATGTGATTTACTGGCAAAAAATTGCCCTGAATTTGAAGAAAAGTATAGCAACTTGACTAATTTCACCAGTCATTTAATTCAAGATGAATTGGTAAACTTATCTGCAGAGAGCATTCGGTCCAAAATAACCAAGGAAATAAAATGTAATAAAGTATTTGGAATTATGATTGATGAAGCAAGGTACCTACTACCTACTACCTAACATTTAAATATTTAAGAATAAATGATTCAATAGTAATAAATGCTAACTATTAACTATTTATACTTAATTTTAGATGTTTTAAAGAAGAACAAATGTCTGTATGTGTTAGATACACTGTTGGTCTAAATGTTGTTGAACGTTTTCTGGGTTTTGTAGACGTTTCAGAAAATCAAAATGCAAATTCATTATGTGCTGAAATATTTGAATTCCTTACTGAGAACCAATTGGATAAATATCACATTGTGGCACAATCATATGACGGTGCCAGTGTCATGTCTGGCAAATTTAATGGTGTTCAATCCAAAGTAAAAAACAAATTTCCCTATGCCATTTACACCCATTGCATGGCTCATCGGATGAACATTGTAGTTATTGATATGTGCAAAATTGTAAAGGTAATAAAATACAATACAATATTTTATTTTTTAGGAATCTAGAATTGTTTTTAATACAATAGAATCATTGTATAAGCACTTTTCTCATCCTACTAAAAATAAAACTCTAGTTATTATGCAAAGAAAATTAGGAGTTAAAATATCAAAAATAAATTCTTTGAGTGATACAAGGTGGAATTGTAGATGGAAAAACTGTGAGTCAGTTGTACACAATTATTAAGCAATTATTGCAGTTTTGCAAGAAGAAATAGATAACCAACTGGACCGAAATGTAAATAAAGCTATAGGTATACTCATATCATTTTTAATTAAATATTAATACTATTGTCTAATTATAAGCACCGGATTAATTTAATATGTTTTGAATATTTTTTATAGGTATACTTTTAATAATGCAAAAAGGATCATTTGTTATTTTTCTATTCATTTTGCAACATGTATTATCTTCCATAAATATACTTAGCAACATGTTTCAAGATAAAACTACTACATTGGGTAATGCAGGTAATCTAATAAACAGCGTAATACTAAGTTTTAAGAATGCTAGATCTACCATTGGCTTTAGTGACTTGTGGTTAGACATAAAAACTTTTTGTGATGAAAATGATGTTAAACTGATCCTACCTTTTCAAACTCAAGGTTAGTATTGTGTTTGTGTACCTAATAAAAAATATTTGTTTAAATATTTATTTATTTAAATTAATATTATTTTTAAACTTATTTAATATGTTTATTATTAGCATCTAAGCAAATGAGACGTGAACCCAATGTTTTTGAAGATTTCATTCTAACAACTACTACTGCCGCAGAATCATTTAATATTACTGAAACAAATTGTGTAAATGGCTATTTTAAAATATTAGATTGTATAGTTGTAAATTTGAAGAAAAGGTTTTCAACTGAAAGTCTTCAAATGGCTGAAGCTGTAGACAATTTTATAAAATTAGATTTTAAAAAGAGTGAACTATTTATTAATCATTATAAGGTAATTTCATTATAAAAACTTGCTATCAAAATGTAATATTATTGAATTAATAAATGAAATGACATGTAGGATCAAAATTTTATTTATTGTAAATTATTCTTATTCTATTTCTAATTAAAGATAATTTTTTTTTTTTCTAGGATTTATTGGATGTAAAAAGTATAAGTGTTCAATCAGAAATGCATGTTGTGAAGAACTACTTACACTTATCAAATGGCAAAAGCAGTATTAATTTAGAAGCTTTGACTTCAGTACTTTCCAAAAATATATACCCTAACATGTCTAAGCTTATACAAGTTGCACTTACTCTTCCTATAAGTTCGTCAACGTGTGAACGTAGTTTTTCTGCAATGAGAAGGATTAAAACATGGCTGAGGTCATCCATGGTACAGAATAGATTAAAAAATTTAGCTATAATTAGTATTGAGAAAGATATTTCTAAAAAAATTGATAAAGAAGCCATATTAAATTTATTTGCAAAAAAAAAAATAGATACATTATTTTAAAATAAATATTTTTTAGTTTCATTATAAAAAATTTTCATTGTTAAAA